TCTGTCCACAATGCCATATCAGGATATCATTAAAGCGGTATTAAACCCAAAACCAAAAATGTAATATATTACAGTTTACCGATTATTAGGTGTGGTGGCTGCATTAGTTTTCTTTTTTTTTTTTAGGCTTTTTTGCCCTCCATTGTACCCTGGGGATCTGGCCAGTAACACTCCTCCACTCGCTTTATAAGCAGTTACAGCAACAGTTTTTCTTTTGAGATGAAAGTTTTACATAAATAAATTAATTAATTGTAAGCACCTCTGTCAGTGTTAACTGCTTTGTCTCATCCCTATAACTGATACAATCTGCAAGATAGCTTTTTCTTTTGAAAAACAGCTGAATCACCTGAAAATAAATGAAAGAAAGCCTAAAAAGTAAACTAATGCAGTAATCAAACCTAAGAATTGGTAAGCTGCAATATAATAAATGTTTGTTTTTGGGTGTAATAGTGCTTTAAAGTATATGTTTAGTAAAAATTGCTCTCTTTATTTGAATGAAGTAGAAAATGGGTAAATATTCTGTCCATTTTTTTTTCGTGCTGCCTTATGACGATCATCCATGGGTCAAACATCGACCAATTTTTTTTTTTCCGAAAATTGGACCTAAGAATAATCAGCCGATTTTCGCTTTGTTAGTGGGTCAATGGCACCAGTCGATTTTTGTGGTTCCTCCCCTTTTCAGTGATCGGGCATGTTGGAAAATTTGTGAAATATTACCGATTTCCGACTTAGGTGTCCGTTTGTGAACCAGCGGTAATAGATCGCTGCTCAGTTCTCCGGCATTCTCGGAGAACACAGTTCTCCTGTGAATGCAGTTTATGAAGCAGTTCTCCGAACGAAGGGAAAACGGTCTCCAAACGCTGGAGAACGGTCTACAAACTCTGGAAAACAGCTCATTTTACTATAATCTCGCAAGATTACAGTAAAAGATCAGTTTACTAAGCAGAGGTAAACTATCTCTGCTTAGTTTTCGGTCCCTCCGATTCTCCAGCTCTGGGCTGGAGAATCTGGAGGGAGAACACAGATCTCCAGAGAAGGGCTGACATGATCTCCTGAGTGTCATAAACTGTGAATGACCAGAGAATAGCTGAGATCTGTTGAATCGCAGGTATTCTCTGTGTCATAAACAGACACCTTAATGATGGTCAAATCATACGATCATCTTTCTGAAAAGAATATGCGCACGAGTCGTGACCTGGAAAGAACAAAAGTTTTGCCTGTTATATGGGGTGAACTTTATGACTTGGTCGGCCAATTTTTGAAATCATTGATGGCACCATCGGATTACCGAGCGAACGTTTTCGATTTTCGGATGACAAATCGTTCAGAATTTGACCCATGTATGGCCTGCATTAGTCTCTCTTAGTCTCTCTTTACTTCCTGTACTGGAAACGCAACAGAAAGTAAGAAGAAGATACACCAGGAAAGAAATGCTAAAGGTGAATATACACCTTTCCGTTTTCCTAGCGCATCATAGCAGCATGTGATGGGAATTAGCTCATACCACAGACAGTGGCGGACTGACCATTTGGAAACTCGGGCACTGGCCGAGGGCCCGGGGTCAGTAGGGGGCCCCATGAGATGCCCCTGGTACCTTTTTTTAAAAGGGTTTTTTTTTAGTTTGGGCAAGGACACGGGGGCCCCATGATCCCCTTTTGCCCGGGGGCCCCATGAGTTGTCAGTCCGCCCCTGACCACAGAGGAGGGTGTAATGCAACTATAACCATATTGCTGCTTTGCAGATGTTTCCCAGTGACCCCATCCAGAAAGCTGACCAAGATGTTCCTACAGCCCTGGTGGAGTGGGCCTTTAGTTCTTCAGGAAGTGGGAGATCCTAATAAGAGTTTAGGCTTTTTGGATCATTTTAACTAGCCAGGATGCTAGTGCATCTGTTGATGCTGAATGACCTTTCCTTGCTCTGTCAGGAACTACAAAAAGATTTTTCAGAACCACTGAAGGAATTGGTAGATAGCTGTGAGATATAGTCTTAGCACATGATCCACATCCAGGGGGTGAAGGTCTCCTTTGGTCTACTTCAATGTTCAGGAAAGAAGGTGGTTCAAATGAAAAGAAGAAGAAACTTTTTGCTATATTTTGCCACAGATTTTTAGAATCACAAAACAGTCCATGGATTAAATGCCAAAATGAGGCAGTACCTGCTTGATAGAAAATGGGGTTTTGACAGAGCTCCAAGTATGATTGAAAGGTCTCATTTTGGAAAAGAAGGTTTCTCTGGTGGTATAATTTTACTGGAGGGTTTGAGGAACTACTAAGGGCTCTAACACCCACTTGATGCCAGTAAAGATCTAGATTGTGGATACTTGGACTTTAAGTGTGCTAGAGCCTAATCTTTTATCAGGTTCTGTCTGTAAAAATTCTAAGATTTGAGCTAGGTCTTGGAAACATGGGATTACAGTTGTTTCTTTGTGCAAAGGAGATTAACTTTGTCCAAACTTGGTAATATATTTTATTCATGGATGACTTCCTGGCTTTAAGAGAGTTGAAGCTACCTTTTTTGAGCATCTCAATTTTAGGAAAGTCTGACTCTCAATTTACTCACCATTAGACTCAGTCTGCCTGTATAAAGACATCCTCCTTGGGACAGCAAAACAGGGATTGGAGGCTCTAGATTGAGTTGCAACAATGTCTGAAATCAAGGCCTATAAGGAATTATTACTATGACAGTAACCTCTTGTGACTCTTTGAGAGGAACCTGGCAATCAAGGGAGTCAGGGGAAAAATTTACCCCAGGTGGAATTGCCAAGCATGATGAAAAAAAGTCTGCCTCCCACTTCTGTTGATGGGGATGGGGTCCTTGATAGAAATCGGGGACATTTTGTGTACAGTTGAGTCACAAATAATCAATCTGAGGTATTCCCCATTTGGTTTTCAGCTGGTTGAAAACTTACTAGTTGAACATTCACTCATTATTGAAGAGTAGTGCAGGCAAACGCAATGAATTTGCGACCTGTATTTGGGATGTTGTCAATATTGCACTAACACCCCGCTGCAGATCACAAGGGCACTGCATTTTGAGCACAGTGTGGGAAACTCATATGTATTGTGGGTTTTCTGCACTGTGTTCTAGTGTGAACCGGGTCTTAGTGCATTCACTACTTGATTCTGGGTGGCAGGAAGATAGATTGCTTCGAGGTTGAGGAGATGTTTTTGAATAATTGGTTAAACTTCTGACATTAAAATCCAACTTCTGGTGCTTCACAGCCTCTAAATATATTGTAAGTCACAGTCACCTGGCTGTCCATTCACAACAGTACTCTGGATTCCTGGATCAGAGGAGCAAAAGGCAGAAGCACTTTGTATTCTGCTCTAAGATGTTTGACACCAGGCCATTCGCATTGAAGGTCCAATGACCTTGTGCGGCAAAGTTTTGAAATGGGGCTCTCCATTCCTGTTGACTTGGGTTGGGCATACACTATTTCTGTTCCAGCTGGATAACGTGATTGTCACACAATTCAACAGATTGTTTTGCCACGTCCACAACCAGATAGAATGCTTTGCAGTTCTGGATATATGAATTGCTGTGATAAAAATCTCCAAATCCCAATGTCTCAGAAATGAACTCTGAGGTAGATGTTAATGCCAATGTTCACACTTCACCATTGGTATGGTTGCTGACATTGTTCCCAGTGTGCTCAAACAAGGAACTGCTGAAAGGGTGATTTGCTGCTAGACCCCCATTTTCAAGATTATTTTTGAGAGGTAACTCAATTGAGTTCTCTTTTGGAAATGAATACTGCTATCAGAAAAGTCACCCTCTGCATTGACTGTAGGGAGCTTTTTTCCAGTTGATGAACCAATCAATATCCTGAAAGCTGTGTGATAGAATCTGACAATGGTGACGTAATGGTTTTATTGCTTTTGGCCAATAACGGGATATTGTCCAAATAATGGTGGATCCTGGGAGCTTGTTCTCTTAATATTACTATCAACTGTAACTGTATTTTTGTAAATGTTCCTGGCAATATTAACAGACCAAACAGTAAACATCTGAACTGAAAGCGCACCGTGTCACTACAAATTGCAGAAACTTTGATGTATGGGGATGTGAAGCGATGCATTCAGCAAATCTACGGATAGCATTTAATCACCGAAATTGACCATATTAAGAACTGATTGTAGAGCTTCCATCCTGAACGACCCCACATATACGTTTGTTCAACTTCTTTAAATTGAGTATTGGCCTAAGGTTTTCTGCCTTTTTGTTCACTAGGAATATCATGCAATAAAAATCCTCACCTCTATGGTCTTCTGGTACTAGCTAAATTGCCCCCTTTTGTACAAGACGGTGAATATATTGTAGTAGAATTCCCTGTTTTGCTAATGACAAAGAAATCATTTTTCTAAAAATGCATTTTTTCATAGCCTGTTTTTAAATTGTGAATGATGATCTTCAATGTTCTTTGAAATTTTCCTGAGGTTTCAAATCTTCTCTAGCAGGATTCTGGTGAAGGGCTTTGATCTGGCTCCTACAGATGATACCTGGGTTGATCTGAAGGATTAGGAGCCTTGTTTTTCTGCAATTTCAGAAGAGTTGACTGGGTGCTCTTTCAGTTTCTTCCATAATCACTAGTTGTTCTTTGATGTTGGGTCTACCAATCATGGCTTAAAGTCTAAGTTTAGTTAATAGAAGAATTGAAACATAAGTTCAAGGGACAATACTTCCCATCAGTGTGATCTGTCCCTTGAGCTGCTGGCTCCTAGTTTAGGTAAAATCTTCCTCTTCCAATGCCCCCCACTCCTATCATCCTTGGGTTAATGGAACTGAGGGAGCTGTGAAAAACACTCATTAAGAGTGCCTGACTATGCCTGCCCTTTATTCCCACCTCTTCTATTCAAAGAATGAAATGTGATCTATGAATGGAGGGGGCAGGTCTTTCAAGCATCTGCTGGTCCTCCATGCATTCAAAAAGGTTTTGGCTGTACATACACTTCGAGCTTTATGTTTTAATTTGGCTTTGCACCAGGGGCGGACTGACAACTCATGGGGCCCCCCGGGCAATAGGGGATCATGGGGCCCCTGTGTCCTTGCCCAAACTCAAAAAAGCCTATGAAAAAGGTACCAGGGGCATCTCATGGGGCCCCCTACTGACCCCGGGCCCTCGGCCAGTGCCCGAGTTTCCAAATGGTCAGTCTGCCCCTGCCTTGCACATAATCAAGTACAAGGGTTATATGCTTTGTTCCTTCTCTAGTTTCACTTGATGTTTCTATATGACTTGGCCATCACCTGTCTCTCATTTAGATGATACAAGAAGTGAATGTTTTGACAGTGGCAGTGACCAAAGTTGACCAATAGGCAGATGTCAGTCTGTAACATTTACCTGAAGTAGAGTTGAATAAGCAAGCATGTTTGTATGGGTTCTGTGATTATCATGCATTGGGCAAAAAACCACAACGCTGGCCTTATACTTGAGTACTGATTGATTTTCCCTTTATATTGGACGGCTATATGATTCCATCTGAAAGTGTCTATAGACATTGCATTCAACACTTGATTAAGGCAAGAAATTTATTTTCTTTCCTGCGACCATGGGTTGCTAAAAAGATAATTGTTCGATACCCCCATCAACACAGTCAATTGATGGGGGAATCCTATTGTTTTCTGCCACCAGAACACAATGATTACTGCTAGTGGCTAGCTAGCAGCTATATAAGTGAAAAATCTGACAGGCTGGTTGTACCCAAGTCGATTGATGGATCAACTTGGGTACAACCAGCCTGCCCATAGATGGACTGAATCTTTGTCAGTCCGTGCTGAACTGACCAAGATTCAATCCATCTATGGCCGGCTTAAGTTTATTCCAGCAACCAAAAACCACTAAAACCTTTAAGGCTTGTTTACATTTGCGGTGTGGGTGGGGTGGTAAAAACAAGCAATTGAGTTGCTTATTTACTGCCCCCCTCAAACTGTAAAGGCAGCTGGATAAGACATTTGGACATTCCATTGCTGGGATTCTTTGCTTCACGGCCGCAATGATCTCCCCATGTTGCAGTCAAGTGAATGTGGCTGAAATGTTTGTGGCGTGTCAAAGGGCCAGTTCACACTACGAAAATGCACTCCGGATGCATTTCTGGATACGTTTTTGCTTACAGTTCACGCCACACGCAGTTCCGGTTCAGTTTTGATGCAGTTTGCTAAGTTCCAGTATGGTTCTGTGCAGAAAAAATGCAGCATGTTCTACTTTTTTTTTTCTGGAAACTGACTGGAACTGACTGCACTAATGTGAACTAGGGCCATTGGAATACATTGAAGACACTGTGCATGCATTTTTGATGCAGAAAAAAAGTGCACTGAACCGCATCTAGTGTGAACTAGCCCTAAAAGATATGAAAGTTGCCAATAGAAGTTGAAAAGGTAGGTCTTCTTGACTGCTCTCTATGTACACCTGAGACTAAGTGGTCCAGAACTTAAAGTGTTACTAAACCCAGGACCCTGCATTCACTATATCTGGTCTCCCACAGTACACAGAACATGGAAGTGCAATTATTTTAGTAAATATAAACTGCTAAATACCTTTTCTCATCAGCAGCTAGAGCAGTCTTCTGACTTCAGCAGAGCACTGGTTAAAGTTTGTAGGAGGAGTTTTCTTTCTGCTCTAGGAAGATGTGAAAGTCCTGACCCTTTGTCTGGACAGTGCTGATTGGCCCTGTGCTGCTCACATGCACTCTCCCAAGAAAAATAAAACCCTCTCTAGCAATACACACCAAACTGAGCATGTGCATGTGACTATGGATTCCGTCTGTAGCAGGTGGTCATTTCAACAAGAGGAGGGGCAGAGAAGACAGGATCAAACATCCTTTTTACACAATGAAAAGGATTAACCCCTTACTGCATATACAGACTTTTACTGTTGTGGGTTTAGTAACTCATTAAAACTGCAGAGGCAAATGTTCTTTATAGGAGGATAGAACTATATTTTTTTCAGAAACTTTAGTGATTGTTGCAATACCACGGGAGTGTCTAAGATGTCTTCAGTGAACATAATCATCCCCCCCCCCCCCCCCCGCTATCACCTTTTGTACCACCTCCCCCTTCCTTTAGATTGTAAGCTCCATGAGCAGGGCCCTCCTATTCCTTGTGTACTGAAAGTATTGTAATTGTACTGTCTCCCTTATATTGTAAAACACTGCACAAACTGTTGGCGCTATATAAATCCTGTATAATAATAATAATCATGGAGATTTATTAGGTGCTCAGTGCAGCTTTCCTTGTATTTAAAGTTGTGTTGGTAAAGTTATTTTTTAGTAAAAGGAAATGTCTCCAATGAGGGCACAGGCAGAAGTACATTTTTCCCAGTAGGCTGGGGGAGGGTTACAACCTCTTTAGGTTGGTTTTGCAGCTGTGTAAGGAGATTTGTTTTCTAATTTCAGTAATCATGGCAGGATGTGTGGGTGAATATCTTCAATGTAAAAAAAAACGATAAAAACCTGGCAGAGGTTCTTCTAACTCTTGCCTGCTGTATCCACATTGTTTGTAGCATATTGCAAAATCCAGTGTCTGAGCGCTGAGCACTTGTGTTTTTTGTACAAATTGGTTCATTTCTCTGGAGCTGAATTACTAAGCAAAATTCACTTGGCAAAGTAAATGTCAGTGAGTAAAGTGAACCTGTGTTCATGCTGGATATGCAATCATGTGTGGAGAATAATCTTGTTTTTTTATGTCCGTAGCATGTGATTAGGTATTCAAAGTAAAAACAGGTTTGCCTTATTTACTAACATTCACTTCTCAAACTATACTACCTTAATAGATCAACCCCAATGTGCACAACATTTGCTTTCTAGCAACTATACAAAGAATCAAGATTTTCAAAGCATAAACACAATAGTAACATTATATACATTTAAATAAAACTTTAGGGCTCATTTACATGGCTCTTCCTGGCTTTTGAAAGGGAAAGGCAGGGAATAGGAGGATTTCCCCCAGGTAGATGAAACTAGAAATAGGAAGATTTCCCCAGGTAGACGTAGCAAAAACAGGAGGATTTCCCCAGGGAGACTAAGCAGGGAATAGAAGGATTTCCCCTTGTAGACTAGGCAGGCAATAGAAGGATTTCCCCTTGTAGACTATGCAGGCAATAGAAGAATTTCCCCTTGTAGACTAGGCAGGGAATAGAAGGATTTCCCCTTGTAGACTAGGAAGGCAATATAAGGATTTCCCCTTGTAGGCTAGGCAGGGAATAGAAGGATTTCCCCTTGTAGGCTAGGCAGGGAATAGAAAGATTTCCCCAGGCAGACTAATCAAGGAATAACAGGATTTCCCCTGCCAGACTAGGAAGGGAACAGAAGGTTTTTTTTCCCCGAGTAGACTAGCCAAGAATAAGAGGATTCCCTCCCAGACAGCATAGGCAGGGAATAGGAGCATTTCCCCTGGCAGACTATACAGGGAATAGGAGTATTTTCCCAGGCAGACTATACAGGGAATAGGAGGATTTCCCCAGGCAGACTATACAGGGAATAGGAGCATTTCCCCAGGCAGACTATACAGGGAATAGGAGAATTTCCCCTTGTAGACTAGGCAGGGAATAGGATTATTTCCGCCTGTAGACTAGGCAGGGAATAGGAGGAATTCCGCTTGCAGACTAGGCAGGGAATAGAAGGATTTCCCCTTGTAGACTAAACATGGAATAAAAGGATTTCCCCTGCCAGACTAGGAGGGGAATAGGAGGATTTCCCCATGTAGACTAAGCAAAGAATACAAGGATTTCCCCAGGCAGACTAGGCAGGAAACAGAAGTTTTTTTCCCCCCCCGAGTAGACTAGCCAAGAATAGAAGGATTCCCTCCCAGACAGCATAGGCAGGGAATAGGAGCATTACCCCATGCAGACTATACAGGGAATAGAAGCATTTCCCCACGCAGACTATACAGGGAATAGGAACATTTCCCCAGGCAGACTAAACAGGGAATAGGAGGATTTCCCCAGGCAGACTATACAGGGAATAGTAGCATGTCCCCAGGCAGACTATACAGGGAATAGTAGCATTTCCCCAGGCAGACTAAACAGGGAATAGGAGTATTTCCCCAGGCAGACTATACAGGGAATAGAAGGATTTCCCCAGGCAGACTATACAGGGAATAGGAGCATTTCCCCAGGCAGACTATACAGGTAATAGGAGGATATGACCAGGCAGACTATACAGGGAATAGGAGCATTTCCCCAGGCAGACTATACAGGGAATAGGAGGATTTCCCCAGGCAGACTATACAAGGAATAGGAGGATTTCCCCAGGCAGACTATACAGGTAATAGGAGGATATGACCAGGCAGACTATACAGGGAATAGGAGCATTTCCCCAGGCAGACTATACAGGGAATAGGAGGAATTCCCCAGGCAGACTATACAGGGAATAGGAGGATTTCCCCAGGCAGACTATACAGGGAATAGGAGGATTTCCCCAGGCAGACTATACAGGGAATAGGAGGATTTCCCCAGGCAGACTATAAAGGTAATAGGAGGATATGACCAGGCAGACTATACAGGGAATAGGAGCATTTCCCCAGTCAGACTATACAGGTAATAGGAGGATATGACCAGGCAGACTATACAGGGAATAGGAGGATTTCCCCAGGCAGACTATACAGGGAATAGGAGGATTTCCCCAGGCAGACTATACAGGGAATAGGAGGATTTCCCCAGGCAGACTATACAGGGAATAGGAGGATTTCCCCAGGCAGACTATACAGGGAATAGGAGGATTTCCCCAGGCAGACTATACAGGGAATAGGAGCATTTCCCCAGGCAGACTATACAGGGAATAGGAGCATTTCCCCAGGCAGACTATACAGGGAATAGGAGCATTTCCCCAGGCAGACTATACAGGGAATAGGAGCATTTCCCCAGGCAGACTATACAGGGAATAGGAGCATTTCCCCAGGCAGACTATACAGGGAATAGGAGCATTTCCCCAGGCAGACTATACAGGGAATAGGATGATTTGCCCCTGATAGGCTAAGCAGGGAATAGGAGGATTTTCCCCAGACAGGCTAAGCAGGGAATAGGAGGATTTCTCCCAGACAGCTTCGGCAAGGAATTAGAGGATTTCTCCAAGATAGCTCCAGCAGGGAATAGGAGGATTTCTTCCAGATAGCTTTGGCAGGGAAATGGAGGATTTCTCCCAGGCACACTAAACAGGGAATAGGAGGATTTCCTCCAGGCATGCTAAGCAGGG